GCTGCAGGAAGGGGAAGTAGCAGACACAGTTTCTGCTGAGCTCGTGGACCTATGGTCCATTTAACCTACACAGGAGTGCAAAGGAGAGCTCTTATTCTTTGAGGAGCCCAGAATGGGTACCCAGTCTAACTCATTATCTATACCACAAATTATTTGTAATGATGATGATAGTAATGTGAGTAAAGAGAGTTGAATTAAAGGGACAGTGCCATATACTTTACCCCAAATTAAAAAGGTTTTACAAAACGTAATACAAATTGTAAACAATACATTATTTAAATAATATACAGTCAAATATCATATTTTTAAAGAGGCTGTTTTATGTTTTATCATGTTGTTCACTGTCCAAACATTGCAGTATTGTATTATTGTATGAAAATCAGGAAAAGAAAATGAGAAGAAGCTGGCTACAAACAAACTGAGAAATACAAATACTGTAGTAGAAGCAATATAAATAGTGAAAAGTGCATCCAGTTTTGAAACCTCTTTCAAAGTATGGACTCTATGGCAACTTAGATAAGGACTGAGTCAGATCTACAGGTTTTTTTGTCCATTTTTAATAACCTGGTATTAATGATAATCTATGGAGCAAATGAAAGACATTTACCATCCCACTAGGAAAAATAGCCAGCAGTAGGATAAGAAGAAAATATAATAGAAAAATAGCATTTATAAAAAGTAGTTCTTTCTCTTAATGCACACAAGACATCAGGGGTACGTCTAGACTACATACCTCTGCCAACAGAGGCATGTAAAATAGGCTACCCGACATAGTAAATGAAGCCGGGATTTAAATATCCCCGGCTTCATTAAAATAAAAATGGCCGCCGCGCAGTGCTGGCTCAGCTGATCGTCGGCACAGCACGGCAGTCAAGACACGGATCGGTCGCCTTATGCCTCGTGAAACGAGGTTTACAGGAGCGGTCGACAAAGGCTTCCCTTGTCAGCCGATCCACATCTTGACTCATGCGCTGTGCCGACGATCAGCTGAGCCGGCACAGCGCGGCAGCCATTTTTATTTTAATGAAGCCGGGAATATTTAAATCCCCGCTTCATTGACTATGTCGGATAGCCTATTTTACATGCCTCTGTCATCAGAGGCATGTAGTCTAGAAGTACCCCAGATGTTTAAAGGCACTCTTTGAAAAAGGTATTGGACTCAAAAGCAGAAGAACTGCTATTCCTAGGGAACTTTCTAGAATACAAGCTTAGATTCCATCCACCATAAATTAATACCTCAACTTTTGGGCCTATCTTTGTGGGTCAAGGAACATGTTAGCACTTTTTAAGCAAACTAAGATTTAAGAAATATAACATTTTGGCAAATAAACCATTGACAGTAGCAGAAGCAGACCCATGCTACCTAGACCAGTGTGGACAAAATCTTAACAGCTGAGATCTTGATCCTGCAAACAATTATGCATGTGTTTAACTATGTTCATATGAATACACCCATTGTCTTTAATGGGACATTCACACACATAAAGTTAGACATATGCATGTGTGCTTGTAGTGCTGGGGCCTAGAAGCATAAAAATTAGATAAAAATAGTAGAGTACTAAGTAGAATGGCTGTTTCATGTACCGGATAAAAAACCATATTTTTTTGAGAAATTGCCACCAAAAATCTTCATCAAAATTACAAAAAAGTCATGACCAGCTTGTATTGTTTAATTTTTGTTTATATTTACAATAAAATAACAGTTTTTTTATTATTTATATTGTTCTGCTCAAAGTAAATGGGGGTATGTCTACACTACCCCGCTAGTTCGAACTAGCGGGGTAATGTATGCATACCGAACTTGCTAATGAAGCCCGGGAAATTCAAATCCCGGGCTTCATTAGCAAGTTCGGTATGCATACATTACCCCGCTAGTTCGAACTAGCGGGGTAATGTATGCATACCGAACTTGCTAATGAAGCCCGGGAAATTCAAATCCCGGGCTTCATTAGCAAGT